GCACTTTAGCTTTCTCTTTTATTTCTTCCTTTTTCTTTTTTCTTTCTTATTCTATTTTAGTTTGTATTAATTTTTACTCTTGTTTTTCAAACTTTCAATAAAATTACATTAAAAAAAATAAACCATCACTTGGTCTAATAGTCCTGGACAACTTTTGCTCAATGTTCAGCCTCCCCATTCTGAGGAAGGTTGCTGAGAAAGATGGTTAGGCTGCAGCTTCAAAGGGCCCTGAAGGAAACAGATTATCTGGACTCCTTTCAGTTAGGCTTCAGAATAGGATATAGCACTGAGGTGACATTGATCATGGCAGCAAGGGGATTTCCTGGGGAGGATGGTGGACTGAAGATAACTCCGTTTAAAGCGGAGCTGATGCCTGCAGACTTTAACAAGGAGCCGGTTAACATATTGCATCCTACAATCTTCTGGATTAAAGAGAGAGACATTGAGATTGCCCAAGTTGATTCTCCTTATGATTGTTTCCTTTTGCGGGGGGGGGGGAATCAGGAGACGGGGGAATTCTCCATAAATGCAGCCTTTTTAAAGGACAATAAGTTTGCATACTTTCCTTGCTAACTACCTTCTAATTGCCTATTAACTACTTCAAAGAATTTAGACACCTAAAAAGTGACAAGGTTGGAAATAGCTGGTGAGTGTCTTCAATCCTTAATATAAGAGTATGAAGATTTATTTTATAAATTTTAAGAACTTTAAATAAACAGCAGAAAGTAAGACAAGGTTTTTGCTATAGAAAGCTTTCAAACAGATTAAGGACTCAGAAAGTGTTGGAAATTGGACTTTGAATATTAAGACTGAAATTACTTATAAAGAATGATTGCGTGTTTGTGGGAAAGAGAAATTGTTTTTGAGACTGAAGACATAAGACAAGTAATTTAAAATGGCGTTTAGCGATATCTTTGAGGAACTGCAGCAGGATATTGAAACAATTATGTCAGGTACAGTATGTTGTGTTTTTCTGAGAACATTCTGGTTTTAGAAGGAGATATTATAGAACAAGATATGCAGGAAAACTTATCTGAAGAAAACTTAAATGAGAATCTGAATAAGAACTTTTCATCAGACATAAACAAAAAAATTGGATGAGAATTTGAAAACTAAGAAATAAATAAAAATGACAATCCTAGAGAGCAATTGGGTTAATTTCTTTTAGTTGGAGTCACAACAGAGATTGTTTAAAGTACTGAAGAAATTTTCAATGAAGGTCAATTACCATATGCATGGATTACACAGAAAGATTGTTCTGTATAGAAGAAAAAAGGAATATAAAATTGGCTTATTCAACCAGGGATAAAACAGGACGTTGTTGTTCTGGCTGGTTCTTTTTGGATTTGCAAATATCTTAACTGGGAAAACAATGTGGTACGCTGGATTTGTTTATACTTCATTAGGTGTTTTTGTTCTTTCCTTTATTGTTATTTTATGTATCTTAATTTCATAGTACTCAAATTGGCTTTGTATTCTGGATTTGTTTATACTTCATTAGGTGTTTTTGTTCTTTCCTTTATTGTTATTTTATGTATCTTAATTTCATAGTACTCAAATTGGCTTTGTATTTAATTGCCTTTTTACTTAAGGTAACGAAGTTTGATCTTGTTTTTTTTTAAGGAGAAACTATTTTTGTTATGCTAAATTTTAGTCTTGTGAATTTACTTATAGTTTAGAGTTGAGATGTGGAATGTTTATCTGAATGGGGTAGGTTGTTATTTAGGGCAAAATGTTGTGTACTGGAGCTTGTCTTTTGTAAAGAAGAAATAGTCTCTTCTTGTTATCTTAAACTTTGTTTTTATTTTGTTTATAGTGGGACCATTTTATGCCTTTTAAATGGGATTTTGTTTTAGCTAAGAGTGGAGGTGTAGAACACTGAATTTTAATGTGTTAAGTAATGTTAATATTTTAGAGCTCTTGACTTTTTGCTGAGAATTGGATGGGAGAAGGGGTTACTTATTTGATTTGCCTATTGTTAAGAGATGGGTTATGGGACAAAGAGGTTATATTGGTTAAATGAGAGGAGGTGAAGAGATTATGGAATTGTGCTTTTTTAGGGGAGAGGGGGTTTTCTTGTTTTGTTTAGTTTTCTTACACTTTTCCCCCTTTTATTCTCACTTGTATTCTTTTGTTCTATCTAAAACTTTTAATAACATTATTGGGAAAAAAAGATCATGGCAGCAAAGATGGGGATGATACAGCCATCCTGGCTCTCTTTGATCTCTCAGTGGTCTTTGATACCATTGATCAGGAGTGATCCATCTCCTTTCTCCATGGTCAGTTCCAGTTGGTGTTGATGGGGGATGGGGGGATGGGAGAAGTCCCTGACCTGTGTGGTGCCTCAGGTCTTGATGCTCTTGCCCCTCCAAATTTAATAACTACATGAAGCTGCTGAATGAGGTCATCCATTAGCACTGGGTCAGGTATCATCAGTATACTGATGATATTCATCTGTATATCTTGGCTCCTAACTGATTGAGGCCCTTCTCAGTCATTCATGCCTTGGGTACCTCATTTGTGAACTATTACAATAAGCTCTACATGAGACTACCATTGAAAACCACTAGGAATCTTCAGTTGGTCTAGAATGTAGCAACATGAGTAGTTATGGATATGCCACAGTATGATCATGTAACACCTCTGCTTTGTGAACTGCACTGGTTACTGGTAGATGTCTGGGTGCAATTCCATGTGCTGGTTATCATCTACAAAGCCACACCATGGCATGGGGCTTAGATATTTGAGAGACTTTCTTGTTCCTATTGTTTCTGCCCATCCTGTAAGATCAGAGAGATTCAGTATCCTGTGGGTTCCATCCATTAAATAGTGTCATCTGATTGGGCCCAGGAAGCCTGCTTTCTGTCTAGCAGGTGCCTGCCTTCTGTAATAGCATGCCCCCAGAGATCAAACTAACCCAACTCTGCTGTCCTTTAAGCAAGCCTTGAAGACCTGGTTTGTTCCCTAAGCTTTGGCTAGGGTGGGTTATGGCTCCCTTTGTGAGATGTTATTGTGTCTAAGGATGACTATCTTCCTTTTCTGTTATCTGTTATTACTCTATTTCTTTGGTTTCAGTTTGTATGTTGAGAAATGTGAATTATAAATATGTCTTGTATAAATGTAGAGAATTAAAATGTCATCATGATAAATAATGATTATTTATTTAATATGGTACTGTTCATGTTAGAAGATCCTAAAGAAGTATACAGAACAGTCAAAGTACAGCATGACTGCATAGAGGAACTTTAATATTGTTTGATTATTTATGTTGATTTATATTTCACCTAGTGATTTTCTTGTTTTAACTGGATATTAGTTGTCCAGAGTTGCATAGTGAGTGGGTGACCATAAAAACTGAGCAAACAGTGAATAATTAAATATTCCTTTTTTCAAAAGTTGCTCCAAGTCTTGAGAATGGTGTAGGTTATAAATTTTAATGAGTACAATCTGATGCAGAGCAGGCCAAACCCAAGAATCATCAGTTTGTAACAGGATTCAATTACTGTCCTTCCGTTAGCCAGTCCATGCTCCCAGACAGGTATCCAGTTTTCAATATGGAGTATGAGGCCCCTTTTAATACATGTGGCCCTTGCTCTAGGAAGCCTGAGTACAAAATGAATTTTGCTTTCCTTAAGATAGAATGCTGATATGAAATTCTGTAGAATTCTTTGTTACAGCTTTTTTGTGTGTGTGCTTTTGAGTCAGTTGTTGACTCCTGGTGACTGCCTGGTCAAGTCCCTGCAGTTGTTACAATCTAACCTGCATTTATTATTTATTAATATATATTTTCTGAAGGAATAGTATTTTAATCCCAATAGAATAATTGGATTTTCTTTTTAACCAGCACCTGGATTAAGTGGGCAGAATTTACCTAATGGGTACCCAAGGTATCCCTCCTATGGAGATGCTTCATCACATCCTTCCAGCAGACACCCTTCAGTAGGAAGTGCACGTCTTCCTTCAGTAGGTGAAGAGTCAACACACCCCTTACTTGTAGCGGAGGAGCAAGTAAGTTATTCTGAATTTTCTCTTCCACATTCTAATTCTGCTGTAACTAGCATGATTATATATTTATATTAACATTGCTAAAATACATCCTTTTTATGATGGAAATACCCTGAACCCAGTTTCTTGTTTAGTGGGTATCCAAATTATTGTATATCACTTTTGGGTATAACTTATCTATGTGATCAGGAGCAGAAAAGAATATGGCAAAGTATAAGGTTGACACTTGACTGTATCTTTTGCAGGTCCATACATATGTGAATACAACGGGTGTACAGGAGGAAAGAAAAAACAAGCCAAATGTGCGTACACCGCTGGAACAAAAGGTTCCCAATGCAGAAACAAATAAGGCAAGAGAAGAGGAGACTTGTTGTGAATACAGGGATCCCCAGGTTGTACTGGAACCTGAAGGAGTCAAATTTGTTTTGGGCCCTACACCTGTCCAGCGACAGTTAATGGAGAAGGAAAAACTGGAATCAAGTGGGAACAGCACTCAAATTAGTGGGAACAGTACTGAAACAAGCGGTAGCAGTACTCAAGCTAGTGGAAATAGTAACAATGAATGGGATACTGGGTATGACAGTGATGAACGCAAAGAGGTTTCTTCCAGTAACAAACTAACATATGAAAATGTAAATAGATTGTCTATCCCTAATGCTCCAGGGCTCAGGAGAGGTCGTCTAGTGTCATCCAGTACCTCTGATACTCAGAACATCAACAATTCAGCTCAAAGGAGAACTGCACTGTTAAATTATGAAAATCTTCCATCCTTGCCTCCAGTTTGGGAAGCTCATAAGCTAAGTAAAGAGGAGGATGACAGTTTAGGACCAAAGACACCCTCTTTGAATGGCTATCATAATAATTTAGATCCCATGCATAATTATGTCAATACAGAGAATGTAACAGTACCATCAAGTGCTCACAAAGTTGAATATGCAAGACGTCGGGACTGTACCCCTACGGTCTTTAATTTTGATATTAGGCGACCAAGTTCAGAACACAGGCAACTCAATTACATACAAGTTGATTTGGAAGGTGGCAGTGACTCTGATAACCCACAGACTCCCAAAACTCCTACTACTCCACTTCCACCAACGCCAACCAGGCGCACCGAGCTATATGCTGTGATAGATATTGAAAGAACTGCTGCTATGTCAAGCTTGCAGAAAGCACTGCCACGAGACGACGGTACTTCTAGAAAAACTAGACATAACAGTACTGACCTGCCTATGTGAGCCTGGAAAGGAGTAGTTAAATCATTTGCACCTTTGTGAAGAATTGTTTTAATTGGATGAGTGCTGTCTTGATCTTTGAATGCTATCATGTTTCATAGATTAATAGATTTATCTGAATACAGGTAGTCCCGGGGTTAAGAACACCAGGGTTACAGACGATCCATAGTTAAGAACGGAGCCTTTTGTAGCAAAATTCGAGTTAAATACACAATGAATTGAGTTAAATACACAGTGGTTTGAGTTCATT